GATGAATTCATACAATGAAAGATGTTTCCCAGCAGAATTCACAGTAAATAAGAAATGGCCAGTTCATGGGGTTTTTTCTCTTTCAGACTCTTAGAAACCCACAAAAATTCATATTATGACCCTAAGGTTTTGAAATTATCTGAAAAACGGGGGGAGAAGGACTTTTTTTCCCCTTTAAAAAAATACAACTATTTGTTAAGCACACATAGCATTCCCTGGGGACACTAGAAAACAACTTTTGAAAACTTTCCCATTGAGATGTCATGAAGAATTCGCCAGAACTCATCCAGCCATTGAATCTGCAGCAGGAGACTGGGATATCGGGAAGTCATCCAAACATCCACTCCTAACACACAGTCCCAGGTAATGGCATCATTAGGGACATCCCCAAACACCGAAATTCAGGCACAGGGATATGACAAGGGTTGTATCCGTTAGCTATGACCGACTTTTAAAGGCAATTATCCCACTATATCTGCAATATCCCTTGGCTTAAATTTTGGCTTTTTTCAGTTCTGAACTGAAACTCAATCAGCTTTATCTCTTTAGCATTCACTTTTTCGCCTTCTGAAATACTAAATACAACCATATTATCAACCAGGACTTCTCAGAAGTGGGTCGTGATTTAAGTGCCCACCATAAAACACTTTTAAGGAGCCGGAGTTCACGAACATCCAACTCTTACTGAAATTCTCATGCAGGCGTCCCAAAACACTGCTCACTTTTTACTGACTTGGCCCCGAGGACTCAGTCCTTGCCCAATTCCAGCTATCCCAGCTCCAAGGTCCCTTTATGCATGTGCTACGCTACCCTTTACACGTAAATCACTGGCAAAAAAAGGCTGAAACCAGAACCCCGATAAAACAGAGGGATCGCGGTATCAGTCGTTAAAACCAAACCGAAGAGGCTGTTGGCAAAAATAAACAAATATAAATAGATAATTAAACAGATATACATTTTTGAGGGATACAAGGGGAGCGAGATGGCAAAACATGCCCCCCCGAGCTGGATCTAAAGCACAAGTCACAAGTGTGATAACACACCTCGGGCACCATCAATCACGGACCGCAAAGCGGGACCGCCTGGGAATAGTTACGCCGGGAACAGTTACCGGCCCGAACACTTGGAACGAGCTTTTATACGAAGCAATTAAATCCAGACCGAGTATAAGCCCCCGAGTTCGTTAACGGGAGGCGGCGGGGCCGCCGGACTGCGCTGCCCTCGCCCCTCAGCACCGCGGGCTCGGCGCCGCTCGGCACATCCCGCCCGGGATCCCCGCCGTGTCCCCTTACCTTGCGTGGCGTCCCCGGGCTCGGCGCGGCTGCCCGCGCGCAGCAGCAGGAGCAGCGGGAGCAGCAGCGGGAGGCTCCGGTCCGCGCCGCCCGGCTGCTGCATTCCTGAGCCGGCGCTGCTCCCGCATCCACCGCGGGGCCGCCGCTCCTCCGTCCCGCGCTGTGCCGGCGGGCGGGGAAGGGAGCGCGGGCGGGGAAGGCAGCGCGGAGCCGCCACCTCCGCCTCCCTCAGCCCCTTCCCGCTGTCACCGCCCGCCCGCCCCGCGCTGCCCGGGCCCGCAGCGCCCCCTCCTGTCCCGCCCCGTTCAGTCGCCGCCGCCGCCATTTTGTCCCCCCTCAGAGCGGCGGGGCCAGGGCGCCATGCAGGGGCCGCCCGTCCTCGGAGCCGAGCTTGGAAGGCGGCACTTGGGGATATCATCCCTCCCAAGGGGCTGCTCCTCAGATGGTAACTGCAGTCCGTGGGATTGTTGCACTTGCGGAGGAAACGCTTTTCACAGAATCACTGAGGTTGGAAAAACGCTCCAGGATCGAGTCCAGCCTGTGCCCGATCCCCACCGTGTCACCCAGCCCAGAGCACTGAGAGCCACGTCCAGTCATTCCTTGGACACCTCCAGGGATGGAGACTCCACCACCTCCCTGGGCAGCCCCAGGGATACCTAACGACCCCTTCCATTAAAAAATTCCTCCTAGTGTCCAACAAATCTAAACTGTTCCAGGCAGAGTCCATCCAGTTTTGTTCCATCCTTGGAAGGGGCATCACTCACTGCCCAGATACAGCCATGGCTATGGGGAGGGTAGATGATCAGTCTTACATGATTTAAGTTTATCCCACTGAGATCCATGGATGTGTTCTACTTTTTAGAGTCTTCCCATTGAAACAGGAAAAGAAACTGAGAGCCAGCAGTGTGGAAAAATGATTTCTCCACTGTTCTTCATACATGAGTTAATAGTTAAAAGCTTCTAATTTTCCCCTCACAACATTTCAGATTTGCTGGATATCTCCTACTTTTACAGTCAGTCAGGAACTCATAAGTCTAGGGACACCTTCCACTATCCCAGGTTGCTCCAAGCCCTGCCCAACCTGGCCTTGGGCACTTCCAGGGATGGAGCAGTCACAGCTTCTCTGGGCAACCTGTGCCAGGGCCTCACCACCCTCATAGCCAATATCCCATCTAACCCTGTCCTCTGGCAGTGGGAAGCCATTCCCCCTTGTCCTGTCCCTCCAGGCCCTTGTCCAAAGTCCCTCTCCAGCTCTTTTGGAGCCCCTTCAGGCACTGGAAGTGGCTCCAAGGTCTCCCTGGAGCCTTCTCTTCTCCAGGTGAACACCCTCAGCTCTCCCAGCCTGGCTTCAGAGCAGAGGTGGGATTTCGCCTAAGTGAAATGAATATTGAATAAACTGATTTCTCCTAACTCTTCCTGAAAAAGAGACAGGATACTGCCTAAGCTTGTTGAAGCTCCAGGAGTGATAATTACTTTCCATTCAGGAGAATGATCACATTCCTGGGATGCTTAGATTAGGTTTAAGATTTCAAAAGTCAGCAACTGTTTAATAAAAAGCTCATAAGCAGAGTGGAAACAAGGACAAGATTAAAGGAATTTCCTTCTCACTTCCTGCTAGATCAGATCCCTTAGGCTTGCCTTGTGCCATATGAATCTTGTATTTCTTGTCAGACACTAATAGAGTTTCAAGAGGAGGAAGAAACCCAGATAAGCATCTGACTGTATGTTGGGGAAGGAGATTGAGGTCTGGAACTACCTTCTCCTCACACATTCACATATTCCTCCTCACACCAGGGAGGACAAGGGCGAGAGATTATCCACTTCCTCGTGAAAGCTCACCAATACACAGACATGAATTAAATGGAAGAGGTAAGCCAAACTGGGTACTGTTCTAGGATCTGATGTGACACATAGAAGGGACTATCAGCTGCTGCTGCCTGTGTTTTTGCCAATTTAGGTCCTTAAACCACTACTCCCAATTGAGGTGAACAAGGCAGGCCTGGGTCCAGCCAAGAGTCTGGATCATCAGGCAAGATCTGACATCACGCTGAGAAGTCAGCTACAGGTCAGGATCCACTCCTCACAATCCATTCCAGCAGGTCTGCAGGGATAAGACAGGTCTGAGGTCAAGCAGGGAAGTCCATCCACACCTCAGTGTCCAGCCCAGTAGGGTCCATAGCCAGGCACAAGGATGAGAGAGTGACAGACTCCCCCTCCTAGGCAGGAGCTAAGGGGGGTTGGGCTGAGCTTAAGGAGAGCCTTTGGGCAAGGGCGGGGTTGGAGGCCCCAGCTGAGGGTGGTCAGTCATTAAGAGCAATGAGAGCCCTCAGGGTCCTGACACTTATCATGTAGACAGGGAATACCGGAGCTGGTGCCAGTGGGAAGGTCAGGCTGTGCAGCTGGGGTTGGATTGCTGCAGCACCAGCCCAGGCTTGCCTGCCCTGACCCTCTGAAGTGACATTTCACGTTACTTCTGACTGATCTAACAGCAAGGAAAAATCTCTTTTGTTTCCTGTATGTTCACCTAGGCAAGGCCATTCAACTAAACCTGTGATGAGAGAAAATAGGAGTGATGTTCCTCCAGATGAGCCAGCTGGGTTAGTTCCCCACAGCTGCTGGAGTGCTGGAGCCAGCAAAGGCAAGTGGGACCCTTCTCCAGGGCCTTCAGTTATCCTTTTGGCAGCAACCTGCTGTTACACTTCTTCAGCTGCAGCACAAAAGTGTTTCCTTCACCTCTCTGTTTGTTGTGCAATGAAGTGAAATGTCCATGAGATCCAGATTCCTCTGAGTTGGGCACTCCTGGCCTAACGATACCAAAAAATGCTGTGGCAGATGGAGAAACTAAAAGCAGATTCTCCAAGTTTTCATTTAGCTACATGCAGTGTGAGAGGATAAATCATTTATAATTAAAAAACAAACTACTTATTTTTAGCTGCAAATCTACCAAAGTCCATGCAATTAGCAAATCTAAATCACTTCCTGGCTAAGACTGTTCAGCACAGCACAGAAATGAAAGTTAAACCATACGTTTGGGGAGCCCGTGGTACATCTGCTCTCAATCTGCAGCCTTTGGAAATCAATACAAATATTCTCCCTGCTTTAACATGCTGCAGTCTGTCAGCCCACAGTGGAAGGGGTAAAAATATATTGAACAAAGGAATAGAGTGGACACAGCCTGAACACCAAAAAATGGATAGCACAGAGTATCCTTAGTGATGGCAAAAAGTAGCCAAGGTAAGGACAAGCACTGGCCTGGGAGGACAAATTAGGGTTTCTCCTACGTGGCTTTGGAGATGGAGTGCACAGATAAAGCTCTAGAAGGTGACTCTGTGGAGAAGAATCAACCATTTGGTCCATGTCCACATATTTTAAAACAACGAAAGGCCTGTAGTCAATATCTTTGTGGAATTAGTTCCCGCAGGGAAAATGTATTACACACAAAACTTTTTTATTCTTTTTTTTTGTTTAATGAAAAGATAGCAAAGAAGCTGTCTGGGAATGATTTGTAAGTACAATAAACCTCACAAGAGGATGATAAGCAAAGTATTGTAAGAGAATCGTGTCAGAAGTACAGCAAAATAAAAGAGAAACATTTCACATTTGTAGTTACTGACAATGTGTGTTCTTAAGTATCATGTCACATTATAAAAGAATCCTTGTTTTCCTTTCCATCTTTCACTAATATTCCTATTAATCTATTCCAGATTTCTTGATTCCAGCATTTGAAGCCATATCAGTCATCCTTCGCCCACTTGAAATTCAACTGGAATTACACCAGTGTGTCCAGGGTTCCAGAGTGGAACCTGAAGGTGAGGTTTGAACTCCCCAAGGATTACTAGAATCTGTGCATCCATGAAAAGACCATGTGTAAATCTGATTTCACTGTAGATATTTAAATTATAAGATGGAGAACAATTGCTGTTACTTTTAAAAGATAAAAGATTTAGACATATCTTACACAGTTCTTTAGAAAAGGGATTCTCTTTAACTTAGGTGAGGACTTATCCACTTGATGTGTCTTTCATTTTCTAGTGGAATTTCAGGAGTAAGCGCAATACGAATAATAACATGTTTCTTTAAAATGAACAGGAGATATGAGCATAAATCTGAATTCCCTAAAAGAAATTAGCCACGGCATAGAGAACAGGCACATACAAGACAGACATGCCTTGTGCTGTGTGATAGGTGTCCTGTAAAAGTCAGCTTAAGAAATACAGATATTGGCCAATGTGCATGTGAAAAATTTTACTTTACACTATCCTGTAGCAAAAAAAGGATCATTTTCCTTTTGTTCACAGGTCCATGAAAAATGGTTGATAAATCTGGTGATCATGACAGGACACTATTAACAATTAAGGCTGGTTTCAGTGTTTGTGTTTGCAGCAGGACTAAGAAAAGACACCAAGGACAGGAGATAATGGATGGTGCTCGATGGGATGGTTTAGTTGAGTCAAATCCAGTGCTGATCTGTGGCTTTCCCTGCTGGAATCAGGCAGGTCATCATGGAGTGACCCAAGGTATGTCCATAGGCAGTGGGATACACATCCCCTTCCAGGGGCAACAGGTTAGACCAGTGCATTTGTGCCAGTCTTTGCAATAACTCTGTCTGCTTCTCAGGCTGCATTTTTCCTTTGCCTTAAGAGGAAAGCAATGGATCAGGGAGCCTTAGGGAATGTGGCAGAGAGCACTGCTGGAGGCAGGAATGACACAGGGAGCACCAGGAGGTGCAGGTCAGCCTTGTTCAGATCATCTACTTCAGTCTGTGGTCTGGGAGTAGTTTGAAAATTGGCAGGAGAGTGTGGAAAATATAAAAGGAAAAGCCTTGAAACAGACCACAATTCTTTCATATGTGTATTACACTGGAATTATTTATATATATATATGTATATGTATATACACCAGGAGGACTCTGTTCTTTACATCCTTAAATTACAGACCTTCATAACAAGTAATGTCACCCTTCTGGAAAAAAGAGGGTGATAGAATGGGACACAAACACCAGCAACTACTTAATAACACATGCAAATATTGGCACGCTTGTTATGCCTTATATTTGTTGTTGTTGTTACTTTATTTTTGGAACTGTGTGCTGGCACTCCAGCATTGCCTTACATTTGAGCTCCATTGTGCACTTCGAAGGCCTTAATTTAATGAGCAGACGTGGTGCAGTCAGAGGGAGAAGTGTGTAAGTCACACAGTGTGGGTATTTACACTTCACATGCTGAGCTTTGTAGTCATCCTTTGGGAGGAAAGAGTTACAGTTATTTTATCTCTGTCTTTCTCATTAGCTCCAGAAGGAAGTCTTGGAAAGAAGGCAATGGATTTACGGCTCAGTTCAGGTTGGTTGTCCTTTTGCAGAACGTCTCAGGTAATTTCAGGTGAAACTCCTCTTTAACTTCAAAGTTCCTCGCACAGACTTTGTTTGCTTTTTCCAAAAGGAATCAACTAACCCAATCCTCAAAAAACCTGACTCAGGGAGGAGGCTATTAAGGCAAAAGTTTAGAAAACTGAACAATAGTCCACTCAATAATCCATGATCACACCACCTGCAGGTAGCCCCGGCCCAAGTAGGAGTAAATAGTCCTGCAGGGAAGGGCTAAGGCACCGTCAGGATGAACATGGGACATTTCACCACCCTCCTAAACATTCTCATCTTTGTAGCCAGGCATGGGAAGCAGTAGAATCCTTCAGTCATTAGAGGAAGGAGAACATCAGAAGTTTTGCAGGAGAAGAACAGATCCAGGATTGGTGCTTTGACAGGTTCACAAGGTGGCCTCTGCATCTGCCTTTACAGTGTATTTACTTACCAGCCTACCCAGGGATTTTGTTAAGGATTTGGCATCTTAAACAGCTTTTTATTCCAACAACATTTCAATTCACCCTGAAGACTCTCAGTTAAGACAAACTGAACTGGGTGGAATTTGCATGGAAGTTATGGGGTTTGGGTATCGGGTTTATAGCCTGATATTGTACTATCTCCCATCTCGTATTTTCCACTCATTTTGCATGTAAAACTTTTACTGCTATCAGAATGAGTTTAGGGGGCCACTAAAACTGAGACTATGCCCCCAGGACCCAACATGATGTAAGGGACCCCCTTTACTTAGAACCATTTGGCTGCACTAAATCTTGATGTTGAATGTTTGGGTTAGTTCCCCCATAAACCTCGTCTGCTGGATTTATATATTTGGCTCCTTTTATTTTGACTCTGGTGGCTAAATTTGCAATGGGCTTTAAATGAATGCAATTCCACTCACACCAGCAGCACAGTGGGTATTTCTGGTTGTGTAAATACAGGGATGTATGAATAGTCTGGGAGGATGCTGAGGGGACCCACTTGGTGGGGTTTCGGTGAGATCCAAAACTCCTCAGCACCTCCAGGGAGAAATTCCAGCCCTTCCAACCTCCCCACAGTGTCTGTGGTCCCTTTCTATAGCCTTTTGTCCCAATCACAGCACACAGTGCATTTGCTTATCGCCTTTTTAATCACAAACTCTGAAATATTTATTTTCCTGTGTTCTAAAAGCACACTTCTCTCTGCAACAAAGAATTATGTCAACTAGGAGGATGATGGAGATGTATTTTTCCCTCTACAGCTCTGTGAAATTAAGCTTTTTCTCACATGGGTGTGGGGTTTTTAAATAAAGCAGTATTTCAGTAATGGCTTCAGTGGGATTTTTTAATTCTTTTCCTCTATTTAGAGTTGGTGGGTTTTTTTAAATCCATTTCAATTCCAGTGAAAATGCCTCTGATCTGATAAAGGAGATGAAGTCACTGCATAGGCTTACTATTTTATTTCCATAAGGTTTGAAAGTTTTGTTCCCTGCAGTGTTTTGGAGCCCAGGAGTATTCATCTGTTTTGTAAAAGGAAAGTTCTACAGAACAACATTTGGTCACTGTTGTCTGAATTTCATTATTCTGTTCTCCAGACTAGCAGAGGGGAAAAGTGCAAGTTAGCTGGGTCACAGTCTGAAATGTGAGAGCAGTCAACTTTTTCTGAAGTTTATGGGAATGAAAGGAAATTTAATACTGCTCAAAAGCAAGATTTAAAGTTGCATCATGTGAAAACAATTGGAGAAGTTTAATCCCGAGGTCTTGGGTTATTTGGTAACTTACATGACCATTTGTCAGCCTGCAAAAGATGGAGTTGGCTTTGCCTCTGTTAACAGTTGGCCTCTGTTTTGGAGTGGTTAGGGAACAAACACAAGTTATATTGGGTTTATAGACCCTACTAGTTCTATTCTTCTTTGTCCTTTCAGCCCCTGACATGTCTGCTTGTCTCCAGTGTGGATCTCCCACCGATCTGGGCAACACGTGCTGACAAGCCTTTCATGTGAGAGGGGCTGCGGGGCCTGACAGCTTCTCAGCCTTCTGAAAAGCTGAATACATATCCATAATTTAACCTTTACCTCTCAGGCCTCATACATCTCATTGTATGTGAAATAAAAGCCATGGGACCCCGGGATGTAACTGAATACTTCACGTTTTGTAATGATTCCAGTGCATCGTTTATGCTAAAAGATGTTGGTGAAACACTCTTTACATTTATAGCAGTTTCTATGGAGTGAATTAAAGTGAAAATCTACAGAGCTTTAAATGCATAAAAATTAGAGATGTCTTCAAGAGTGTTCCAGCAAAAATATCTTTTTTAGCAAAGTCTCTTGCTGTTAGGAAAATTCCCTGGAATTTTCCTGCCTGTGTATTCTCCTACCACGGATACGTCCTCTCTGGTTTTGGCATCAGCACCATCTGTGTTTGGCCGTCACTCACAGGCTCTCCAGAGAGATTTAAAATAATGGTAATCATCATTAAAGTAAAAAAAATGGTGTCAAAACTTGTTTCTGAAGGACATTTCAAATGTTGTTTTGAGGGAGACTAACTTTTCAGAAGATCTTTGGGGTGTGTGCAGGGTTGTGGCCGTGGAGCTGCTGCACAACTGGACAAGTGAGGTTTAATCCATCCAGCTCACGATGGAGCCTCTTCCATTTTTTTTCTCTGTTTGAATCTGTTTGTTTCTCAGATTCATTTATAAGTTGCTTTTACCAGCTCTGAAAATTGGGGTTTATGGAGTTTCTTTTCCACCTGATTGTACAGTAACTCCTCAGACATCCACACTGGAGCTCCACAAAGGGAATTTTAGTCAGTGCTGGAAGTAAGGACCAGAGGAGGGTTTGTAGATGATGTTAAATACTGATCCTGAAGTCTTGAGTTCCCATAGTACTGCAAAAGAGAAGGAAGTCTAGAGGGGAAACATATTGTGTATGGAGGTGGCAAGTTGGGAAACTGTAAAGGAGGCTGAAAAGGAGGAAAAGCCAGAAACAAAGAAGGGAAAAAGGAGAGAAGAAACTCCAGAAGTTCAGATGAAGGATCCCGTGTGCAAGCTGAGCTACAAACCATTGTGCACAATTGTGCAGGAATTAGTGCACAGTGAGAGGAATCTGTTGCATTTCCCTGCATCTACAAAACCATTCCTATGAAACATCGAGCACCAGTTTGCTGTAATGGCAGAAGAAATCAGCACTATGTGATTTCTACAGGAGCAGAGCTATTTCTGTGCCTTCTTCCACACACAGTAAGTTTCCCAGGCATACATGAGGACATTCAGCTACTCTGGCTTTTCAAGGCCTGTACCTAAAATTGAAAAATGCAGCTCAGCTGCTTTTTATAAGATATCTACAAGAGCCAGTTCAAAGCTGAACATCCAAGAGCTGCTTAAAAACTGACTTTGATTCCCCCTGATAGAGAGCTCACCAGTGCAGCTGGGGAGCTGAAACCACTGATGTCTACTTTCACTGCTGCTGCTCTTTAATTTGAACTGATCTATTCCATCTCTTTTTATTTTGAGAAAGCAGAAAAATAAAATGTCTTACATTGCTCATACTGCCATAAATGTTATCAGCAGTAACTGCCTGAAATGCTGCCAGGAGCTGCACTGTCCCACCTGCTGCTGCGAGCGAGACACTGAGGAACAGCCCTGGACGTGGCACACATTTCTGCTTTGCAATAAAGTAAAAAATAAAGGGCTTCAATTTACATTGAATTTCTCTACTCTCCATAAAACCTAATAATTCACCTTCCACTAAAGCAACAATTTTATCGGGAGGACACTCAAAGCTAAAAACCAGAGAGTGTGGGGTGTGCTCTGACCTCTTGGAACTGGTGGGAGCTCAGGTGAAAAAGGCACTTAACTGGGCTGTATTCATTTTAGCATTCCAATAAACTCCAATTTAGATATTTAAATAACACCTACATACTAATTAACTTCTTCAGCCTAAGCTGCATATCACTGATGCTTCCACTTTGCTTTGGAAAAGGCTGTGCTTCACCCTGGGTGACATATGTACCTGGAACTAGGCAGGACCATCATTTAACTATATGTATATGTATTTCTTTCTCTGTCATTCCAGTGGCCAAACTCTCAAACAGTTGGAATTTCTTGCAAAGGGAGAAACACCTGAGCCAAATTAAACCACAGCATTGTTTAAAAATCACATTCTTTCATGTTGTGCCACGGACTGTAAGAGCTGAGCTGCTGATTCCTGCCCTCATAAAGCTTTTTCTTTGAGGCTGACTGTAATTACAGAGCATTTTAACACTTTTATCTTGGGGCTGCACAGGGACAGGACAGATTTCTAGACCCTGTCTCCATTTTTTTAATGAGAGGCTCTTTGCAGGCAGGTGACCCCAGAGGGGAAGGCAAAGCTCCTCTGGGCAGCCCAGGAGCAAC